CACCACCACCACCATCATCATCACCATCATCATCATTACTATCACCACCACCATCATCATCACCAGGCTTATCATTGGCAAAGCCACAACGTCAAAACCACTGGCGTTGAAGACATGGTGCTACTGCAGAAGATCAGCGAGTCGGCCATTGTCGATAATCTCAAGAAACGTTTTATGGATGATCACATCTACGTACGTGCGTGTGTTCGTGCGTGTGCGCGCGTGCGTGATTGCTTTGTTTGTTTTTTCGTATGTATGTGTGTGTGTTTGTTTGTTTGTGTGCGTGTTTGTATGTTTGTACGTGCGTGCATTCAAAAAAAAACACGAGCATGCACGACGGTGCGAAATGAATTTCTTAAAAACGATAAATCCTAATTTCGCGACGGACCCTACACCGGCGACAACAAATACCAGACGCCTATAACGATTATCACACACGCACACACACACGCACACACACACGCACACACACACGCACACACACACGCACGCACACACACACGCACGCACACACGCACACACAGACGTACATAGGACCTGTATTAATCTCCGTAAATCCTTTCGCTCAGCTAAATATTTATGGGGAGAAGGAAATTGATAGGTACCAAGGAGCCGTGAGTTATGATAATGATTCATTCATTCATTCATTCATTCATTCATTCATTCATTCATTCATTCATTCATTCATTCATTCATTCATTCATTCATTCATTCATTCATTCATTCATTCATTCATTCATTCATTCATTCATTCATTCATTCATTTATTCATTCATTCATTCATTCATTCATCCATTCATTCATTCGTTCGTTCGTTCATTCAATCATTCATTCATTCATTCATCCAGGCTTCTTACGAAAACCCGCCACACGTATACGCACTGACAGACGATATGTATCGGAACATGCTCATCGACATGGAAAACCATTGCGTTATTATTAGGTACGCTTGTATGTATGTTTGTATGTATGTATGTTTGTATGTATGTATGTTTGTATGTATGTATGTTTGTATGTTTTTATATGCTGTTGTATGTATGTTTGTATGTATGTTTGTATGTATTTTAGAAAACAACATAAAAAACAGAGTTACAAGTCAACAACATACCTAACATATGTATGTTTGTATGTATGTGTGTATGTATGTGTATGTATGTGTGTGTGTATGTATGTGTGTGTGTGCGTATATTATTATTATTAATTATTATATATTTCTTAGTGGCGAATCAGGAGCTGGCAAGACAGTGGCTGCCAAATACATAATGAGCTACATCGCCAAGATATCCGGCGGAGGTCAAACTGTCAAGGTCATTAGGTTATGATGATGATGATGAAGAAGAAGAAGATGATGATGATGATGAAGAAGAAGAAGATGATGATGATGATGATGATTGCAATGACGATGACGATGAAATAATTAAAAATCATCATGAAATAATAAATAATAAAATGGCCATCTGGCGAGTGAGAGAGAAATAAAATGAAAATAAAATGACCACCTAGCGAGTGAAAGACATCATACTGGAGTCGAACCCACTTTTGGAGGCGTTCGGCAACGCCAAGACTCTGAGGAATAATAACTCCAGTAGATTTGTTAGTCACTCTTGCTTTCATCCTACCAGTTTATTAATATTCTTTAGTAATTAGCTTTATACAACAACGATAACTACTGCTGCTTATACTGCTGCTACTGCTACGGCTGCTACTGCTACTGCTGCTATTCAGTTACTGCTTTTACTACTACTACTATTTCAGCTGCTGCTATGGTACTAATTATTATTATTATTATTATTATTATTATTATTATTATTATCATTGTTAATATTAATATTATTATTATTTGGTGTCAAGGGCAAGTATGTTGAAATACAATTCAGTCGGGGAGGCGAGCCTGTGGGCGGTAAGATATCGAATTTCCTGCTTGAAAAGGTTCGAATACTACAACTAAGGATTGTGAATTGTAATAATTGTTCATTTATTATAATTGCTCATTCTTTCATTAATTTATTCATTTATTTATCCATTCATTCATTCATTCGTTCGTTCACTCGTTCATTCATTCATTCATTCATTTAGTCTCGTGTGGTAACAAGGCACAAAGACGAACGCTGCTTTCATATTTTTTATCAAGTCATCAAAGGCGCCTCTTCTGATATGAAAGGTTCCTTTTTCTATTTTTGATCCGACTCCTACTTGATCGAATGAATATCAAACTAATTTCATTTACCTAGCTCTTACTTATTCTAAAGCTTTGTAGCGCTATATAAATTAGTAATAAAAATAATAATAATAATAATAACAATAATAATAATAATAACAATAATAATAATAATAAGATTCGTACGGCCTGACGAATCTGGAGTACTTCAACTACCTCAGCAGCAGCGGTGGCTACAACGTCCAAGGCACTGATGACGTCAAAGAGTTTCAGGAGACAAAGGTTGGTGCGTCATTTCATTTTTAATCTTTCTATTCGTTCTCTTTTCTTTTCTTTTTTTCATTCATTCATTCGTTCTTTCTTTTATTCATTTGTTTGGTTTTTGTTCTTTTACTTATACACTCACTCAACCATAAACTCGTTCAATGTTATTCATTGTTGGTGCGTTCGTTCGTTGGTGCGTTCGTTTGTTCGTTCTTTCATTCATTTTTTTCTTCTCTTTCAATCTCAGCACGCAATGGGCGTGATGGGTCTAACGAAGGCAGACGAGTCGAACGTGTTGAGTCTGGTGGCGGCAGTTCTGCACCTGGGCAACATCACTTTCAAGGAGAAGGGCAACTACTCTGATGTCTTCGATAGGCAATGTTCGTACTCTCTTGCCCACGCACGTACACGCACACGCACACGCACACGCACACACACGCACACGCACACACAGTTCTAGATTTCCCGGCTCATTTACTGGCCGTAGATGCGAATCGTCTGAACAAGAAGCTCATCAGCAGAACAATGGAAGGTAAATGGGGTGGAAAAAATGAAAACGTCGAGGTTTGTGATTGACTGAACGTTTAATTTTATTTAATTTCCCTCTTTCTGATTGGCCGAACAATTTATTTAATTTTTTTCAATGAAGATTTTATGTCGGTCTAATTTTAAATTTAAACATTTAATCTACATTTTTGATTGGTTGAAACATTCAATTTAACTTAATTTCCAGACTTCTGATTGGTCGATTACGTGAGAAAATAATTAAAATCATATAATATAAAATAATTATGAATAATATTTTTGAAGGTCACATTGAACACCGAGCAGGCAGCGCATACGAGGGACGCCCTGTCGAAGGCCATCTACAGCAGACTCTTTGATTTCTTGGTTGAAGTGGGTGGAGCTAAATCATTCATTAATATTAATCACTTAGTTAATTTATTCATAAAGGCATGAATATTAGTTAATTTGTTAATTAATAAACATTATTACGCACACATACAGTCGGTGAACAAAGCGATGGCCCACCCCCGCCAAGAAATCGCAACCGGCATACTCGATATATACGGTTTCGAGATATTCGACAAAAATAGTTTCGAGCAGTTTTGCATAAATTATGTTAATGAGAAGCTGCAGCAGATATTTATTGAGTTGACGTTGAAAGCCGAACAAGTGCGTTGTTGTTGTTGTTGCTGTTGTTGCTGTTGTTGTTGTTGGGGTGGTGGTGATGTCATACCTGATGACGTCATTGTGAAAAAATGTTGTTGTTTTTTTTTTCTCAGGAAGAATACGTGCAAGAGAACATAAAATGGACGCCGATTGATTACTTCAACAACAAAATCGTCTGTGATTTGATCGAAGCTAAAAATCCTGTCGGGATAATTTGCATTCTTGACGATCTCTGCGCCACGCTGCATGCCGTCAGTGAAGGTGCCGACGAGAAGCTGCTGGGGGTCAGTCTGCTGCTGCTGTTGTTGTTGCTGTTGCTGTTGTTGTTGTTGCTGTTGTTGTTGTTGTTCGTGATCATAACAACCATCATCATTATTATTTTTATAATCATATTAGTTGTTGTCATCATCATCGCCTGTATTCTTATCTTCTTTATCTGTACCATGACCTTCATCATCTGTACCATGACCTTCATCTTCATCATCTTCATCATCATCGTCGTCTTCATCATCACCGAAGAAATTGAACGCGGGTGTAGGCAGGCACGAGCACTACCAGCAGAGTGGGGCTGGATTCGTCATCCAACATTACGCTGGCAAGGTTCGTTATTATTATTATTATTATTATCATCATCCTAACTTCACCGCCATCATCATCATAGCTCCATCATCGTCGTCGTCGTCATCATCGTTAGGTCATTTACGATGTGTACGGATTTTGCGAGAAGAACAGAGATGTCTTATTCCCCGACCTCATTCTCATCATGCAGTCCAGTCGCAAGTGAGTACCTCAAACAACAACAACAACAACGACACCAACAACAACAACAACAAGAATAACAGTTTTGTCATTATTATTTTTATTATTTTATTATTATTATTATAGTCGGTTCATTGTTGATTTGTTTCCCGAAGTAGTCGACGGCCAGGCCAAAACTAGGCCAACCACAGCCGGAACTAAAATTAGAGTTCGTTGATTGGTTGGCTGGTTGATTGGTTGGTTCCTTGATTGGTTGGTTGGTTGATTGGTTGGTTGGTTGATTGGCTGGTTTGTTGATTGGCTTGTGTTGATTGATTGGTTGGTAATCAATGGTAATTGATTAATGGTAATTGATTGATTGGTTGGTTGGTTAATTGATTGGTTGATTATTATTAATAATAATATGATATTTATTATTATTATTCATAATTATTCTGAATAAATTATAATAATTTATTAAAACTTTCAGACACAGGCGAACAAACTGGTGGAGGCATTGATGAAGTGCACCCCCCACTACATCCGCTGCATCAAACCGAATGAAACCAAGAGAGCGAAAGATTGGGACGAAGAAAGGTCATAATTATAACAATAATTATAATTAAAGGTCATAATTATAACAATAAATATAATTATAACAATAATTATACTATAATTATAATATAATTAACAATAATTGAACCAACAACCTTCACAATGAAAATCAAAAATTTATACAACAGATCACACACACGCACACACTCACACACACATACATACATACATGCACGCACAAATACAAGCACATAATTATAACATAATAATAATTATTATTATAGTTATAATAATAATTATTATTATGATTATAATTATAATTATCCAGGGTTCGACATCAGGTTGAATATTTGGGACTGAAGGAAAATATCAGAGTGAGGCGAGCTGGCTTTGCATACAGAAGGGTCTTTGATAAGTTTCTTCGAAGGTGTGTATGTGTTCATTCTTTTTATGTTTCGTCTCGTTTCGATATCTCTATTTTCGTTTCGATATTTTTTTTTATTTGCTGAGAGGCACACACAACGCAGCAGGCAGCGCATAAAGACGAATAAACACATACTTACAAACCTACACACACACACGCACACAAATACACACACACACGCACAAACACACACATTAACACACAAATCAGAGTTTGTAAGTTTTTAAAGTATATAAATACACAAGCAATATATATTTAAAGACCTACTCTGCTATTTAAGAGTCGTTTCAAAAACTCTACCAACTCAACCCTTACTCCCACCGACGCAGGTACGCCATCTTGACCCCGGAAACGTACCCCAACTGGAAGGGGGATGTCAAACAGGGCATTCTCCACCTTTTCAACCACGTCAAAATGGACCACGATCAGTACCAGATGGGTAGAACTAAAGTTTTCATAAAGAACCCCGAATCCGTGAGTTTGAAGTTTTGTTCTGCCGGAAGTGAAGATGACGATGATGATGTTTGATGATGATGATGACGTTTGATGATGATGAAGATGATGTTTGATGATGATTGAAACAATGGTGTTGTTAGTGTGTGCGTGTGGGCGCGCGTATGTATGTGTGTCAGTCATATAATCATCGTCGTCGTCATTATCATCATCACCATCACTATCATCATCATCGACAACATCGTCATCATCAACAACATCATCACGTAGCTGTTTTTAATGGAGGAGTTGCGCGAGAGGAAGTTCGACGCCTTCGCCAGGGTCATCCAGAAAGCTTTCCGGAAGTGGAACGCCCAAAAACAATATATAAGATTAAGACAACAAGGTTATGATGATGATGATTGCGATGATTGCGATGATGATGATGATAGTGATGATGATGATGATGATAATGATGATGATGATGATAACTTTAATGACGTCCAACAGCTTGCGATCTCTTGTACAACAAAAAGGACAGACGGAGATACAGTATCAACAGATCGTTCGTTGGAGACTACATAGGTGGGCTGCACACACACGTACACACGCACACGTACACACACACACGTACACACACACACACGTACACACACACACACAGGTATGGACAGGGACCATGCGATTGGCATCCGAGCTCTTATGAATAAAAGGGAGAGAGTTGAATTTGCTGATACCGTGAAGAAATACGATAGAAGAGCCAAGGTACTGATGATGATGACGATGGTGATGATGATGACGATGGTAGGGAGGATGATGATGATGATGGTGGTGATGATGATAGTGATATGATAGTTGTGATGATGATGATGATGATGATGATTGCAATGGTGGTTCATTCCTCAGGCAGTCTCAAGGGATTTAGTTGTGACGACAAACAGCGTCTACCTTATTGGCATGGAGAAGGTGAATAATAATAATAATAAATATAAAATAATAATAATAATAAATATAAAATAATAATAATAATAATAACAAATATAAAATAATAATAATAATAAATATAAAATAATAATGATAATAAATATTATTATTATTGTTAATTATCGTCGTCGTCATCATCTTCATCACCACAATGATCATAAATATAACAGCATAAAAAGAACAATAAATAGATACGGTGAATTAAATTACTTGATAGAAATTATTAATAATTAAAATTATGGAAGGCCAAAGACGGACCGCGGAAAGGTCAACTTTTGAAGGTCATCAAGAGGAAATTTCCCATCGAGGCAATTGAAAAATTATCACTGAGGTCTGTGGGCATGTTGATGACGTAATAATAATAATAATAATAATAATAATAATAATAATTAATAATAATAATAATAATAATTAATATCGATATGACATCACAATAATAATTACATCTTCATCATCGCCGTCACAACATCATCGTCATCATCACAACCACAACAACAACATCATCGTCATCATCACAACCACAACAACAACATCATCGTCATCATCACAACCACAACAACAACATCATCGTCATCATCACAACCACAACAACAACATCATCATCAGCACCAAGCAAGACGACTTGTTCGTTGTGTCCGTCAGTGGCGATTACGACAGCGTTTTGGAGTCGGCGTTCAAAACTGAATTCCTGACCATAACCTCCAAGAGATACAATGAGATCACAAGGAGGAACCTTAACATCGTGTTCAGTGATACGTCAGTGACGATGATGACGACGACAATGATGACGACGACGATGATGATGATAATAATTTCGACCTTAAAACTATCATCATCATCATTCCAGGATAAAATTCAGTGTCAAAAAAGAAGGTTTCGGTGGGGGTGGTAGTCGAACGATAAAGTTTGTTGACGGGAACTCGGATCAAATGCAACTGAAGAGTGGATTCACTGTGGCCATCAAGCCGGGACTTCCGAAAAACACAAGTACCGTTATTTGTTTCGGTATTTCTCGTTTCGTCTCGATACTAACCCTAACCCTAACCCCAAACAGGGCCAGGAAACCGGGAAAAAGTTTCGAGCAATCAGATTCCGTCGCATATTCGGGTTGTCCAATCAGAAGAGAGGACCAGGCGGCCCACCAATCAGCAACATCATCGTCAGCAACAACGGACAACCCAACAACAACATTCTCAAAATCGAATAACTAACTCTGGTTCGTGTTGTTGGTTGTGACGATGACGATGATGATGTTCTTTTCGTCGCATCATCATTCCATTACTCATTCATTATGATCAGCATCAACATCATCATCAACATCTCCACCACCATCATCATTATCAGTACCACCACCACAACCATCATCATCATTATCAGTACCACAACCATCATCATAATCATAACTTGTCCAGGTGGCGGTCGACCACTGCCTCCAATCAACAATGGGCCATCGAGGGGACCGAGAACTCCAAGTGCCTACGGAGGGGGGCCCCTACCTGGTTTCAGACTGCCCCCTCCAGGTGGTCCTAGGATGAATGGGGCAATGAATGGACCACGGAGTTCTCCTGGGTAAGTATGGGGCATGTTGAGGGATCTTTCGGGATTAATTTTTTATTATATTTACTATTTTACTAATCCTATCATCACATTATCATTCTCATACTCATCATCTCATCATTACCACTATCGTCGTCATCATCGTCGTCGAGGTCGTCGTCATCATCATCATTGTCATTATCGTCATCATCATCATCAAAACAAAATGGCAGGCCTAGACCGCCCCCACCAAAACCGGTTCCGGCGGCAAAGTCGAGACCAGCGGCCAATCGCTGTCGAGCGCTATATAATTATGACGCCAGTGACACAGATGAAATATCTTTTAAGATTAATGACGTCATCGAAATTACTAAAGAAGGTTATGATGATGATGATGACGGTAATGATGATGGAGCTAATTGAAATTGTAGTTAATGACGATGATGTTAAATTGTGATTGCACAGGCGTATGAATGTATGTATGTATGTAGGTAGGTATACATTTATGTGTGTGTGTGTGTGTGTGTGTGTGTGTGTGTGTGACTGTCATCATCATCATCATTCTCATCAGATCCGAACGGCTGGTGGATGGGACGATTAAGAGGAAAAGAAGGGTTGTTTCCGGAATCTTACGTCGAAAAAATTTAACGCGGAATCTTACGTCGAAAAAATTTAACACACACCTACAAACACACACACACACACACACACACACACACACACACAGAGACAAATATATCCGTACATACATACGTACACACAAAAATACTTTTACCACATATTAGAGATGTACCGTCACCGAATGGTGCTTTAGTCGAATAGTCATTATACATTCGCTAATTCACTATTCGAACAAATCCGAAGACTAAATATTTGACCGAATATATTTGGAACATCTCTAATACATACATATAAGCGTACTCACACACACATACATACATACACACACACACAGACATACATACACAATATATATATATATATATATATATATATATATATATATATATGTATATATATGTACGCTATGTACATAATAATTTTATTATTAATAATATTGTTGTAATTTTAATTTTTTGTCTTCTTCTCATTACCGAACCCTTTTTAAAGCACGATATGATGATCTGTATTAGTTACCATTAAGAAAAATGTCAATAAAAATATTTATTATTAATGTTATTGTTATATTATATTATAATTATTATTGTTATTTTAATGTTGTCTAAAATAGTATTGATAATTACATATATTGTTTTGTAAAAAATTTTTAATTATTGATGTAAAAAAAAGAAACATCATTAATGTAATAATAACAATAATAACATAAATTATAATAATATAATAATAATATAATATAATAATAATAATTATTATTATTTCTCATGTTATTATTGTCATTGGAAGAGCAATAACAAAGTGAACGAGCTGTATATCAGACAGTTTAGTTTGAGCATTAAAATTTGTTCATGTTGGTGTTGTTGTTGACGATGTTGTTGTTGATGTTTGTGTTGTTGTTGTTGGTGTTGTTGTTGGCAATGTTGTTGTTGATGTTGGTGTTGCTGTTGTTGAAGTTGTTGACAATGGTTTTGTTGTTGTTTACATGCACACATACAAACATACGTACTTGTGAGATCACAACAACAACACAACACACACAAACTTGTTGCATACGACTTATCAAACAAACTTGAAACCCCAAAGCGGAAATAAAAACATAGAAAAACTACACCGGAACATGGAAAATAAACAACAACATAGATATAAAACCAATGACATGAATGTATTAAAAATTACTGATATTACCCAATATCGCCCAGGCAACAAATCAACCTTGCGACAATGAGGATGGCAAGAATAACACACACCACACACACGCACACAAACACACACACACAAACACTCCTCGTTCTTCCAATTTTTCTATGCACTTTTACGTAAACATTGCAAAGCCTTTTAATACACACACACACATATGCACAAACACACACACACACACACATACTCATGATCGTCGTCATCGTCATCATCATCTGTGACGTCATAATTATTGTCATAATAATAAATATTATGATAATAATTATAATAATAATAGTAACAAAACAAACATATCCGCCTGCTAACCTACTTCTACATAAACAAATCACAGGCCAGCAAAAAAAACATACACACATACATGTTTATTTATGGACCTACATTGCCTCATTCTTCAAAATACACACATATGCACACAATCATCTCCATTTATTGAGTGTGGTTTTAAGTTTGTATGTATGTTTGTATGCGTATGTGTGTGTGTATGTATGTATGTATGTATGTATGTATGTATGTATGTTTGTATGTTTGTATGTATGTATCATTCTCCTTATCAATGCAAGACATCATCATCAGTATCTTCATCGTCATAATATCAACAACATGAGCAACATCTACCCCTTCCTTAATCTAGCAAACATGTAATTGAATAAATTCAATTTTCTGCTCTCGACAAAAATTTGTGTGTATGTATGTATGTATGTATGTATGTATGTATGTATGTATGTATGTATGTATGTATGTATGTATGTACGTATGTATGTATGTATGTATGTATGTATGTAATGTATGTATGTATGTATGTATGTATGTATGTATGTATGTATGCATGTATGCATGTATGTATGTATGTATGTATGTATGTATGTATGTATGTATGTATGTATGTATGTATGCATGTATGTATGTATGTATGTATGTATGTTTGTATGTATGCATGTATGTATGTATGTATGTATGTATGTATGTATGTATGTATGTATGTATGCATGTATGCATGTATGTATGTATGTATGTATGTATGTATGTTCATCGTGAAAATAATTAAGTTTTAAACTGACTTCGAAATTGTAAATATGATAGGTTAGTTAGGGTCACGTAGGTAAGGAGGCAAACCATTTCAAACAACCGGGCCATGAACCGCAAAGTTGCGGGACCCCGTCGCTAACTTTGTAGTCGGAATGGTATATCCTATGTATAAAATTATATAGAGTTGTATTAAGATATATAGAGTTATATAAAGTTGTGTAGAGTTAGATAAGGTTATCTAGAGTTAAATATATTTATGTATGGTTATATAGAGTTATATGGATTTTTATATTAAGTTACATATAGAGCTATATGTGGTTATTTAAAGTTGTATGGAGTTATATAGAGTTTTTTGCGATTCCCCTTCCCAGGTTCACCACCAGTTTGTATGTTCATCCATATTTTGTATACATTTCGAGGACATTGTATACTTCTATATCAATATCGCAATGCAATGTTTGCATACATGCATACAATTGTATACATTCAATCACCCTTTAAATCTTAGGTATATATGCATGCATGCATGCTTATATACACAAGTATGTATGTATGCGTACGCGTATTTATGTATGTGTGTATTTATGTATGTATGTGTGCACGTATGTATGTATGTACGTATGTATGTATGTATGTATGTGTGCACGTATGTATGTATGTATGTATGTACGTATGTATGTTAAATGACCACAGACGAGTTTAAAATCCGGAGCCAAATTTGGTTTCAAATTGTTCATGCGGCCTGAACATCAATGTGCTTTATAGAGAGAGATTTTAATATTTTTCTCAATATTAGTAATAATAATAATTATAATTATCTATAATTTTAATAATAGTAATTATAATTATCTATAATTTTAATTATAACAACATTATATTCATAATAATAATAATTATTGTTATTATTATTATATAGAATGTTTTAAACGTGATTGGAAGCAAGAATCACTTGTGATGTCCTTCATTCATTCGTTCATTCATCCATCTATTAATTTATCCACTCATTTATCATTAATTCATCCATTCATTCCTTCATTCATTCATTCCTTCATCCATCCATCTATCCATAAAGAAACTGTTGAATGATGTAGGCAGCATAGAGTTCAACAATTGTAAACTTTATTTTTGGTTATTATCATTATCATTATTATTATTATTATCATTATTATCATCATCATCATCATCAACATCATTATCAACATCAAACAAAATCAACAAAATAAACTAAACAAACCAGCTGTTCAATCGTTGAAATAAAACTTGTACGAAACATTTCCTTGCTTAAAATAAAAAAAATCCCTTAACTTTCTAGCGAAGATTCTACTTATTAAATGGAATGAAATCGTAGTTGTTGCTGCTGTGGTGATAAATATTAGAAGCAGCTGCTACAGCAGCTACTACAGCAGCTGCAAAAGCAGTATTAATAGTAGTAGTTGTGGTTGTTTTTGCTGGCTTCGTTGTTTTCATAAATGCTTTTTGTTATTAATTTAATTATTTTTGCGATAACATGTAAGACTGTTGCAACAACAACAACATCAACAACAATATAGTCGTCAACAACAACAATATTGTCATCAGCATCAACAACAACAACAACAACATAGTCATCAACAACAACATAGTCATCAACAACAACATCAACAAAATGCTAGCGATCATAACCATAACGATTATGATATATTTCAGCAGTGTTGGGCACGGTGAGTTTTTTAGATCAGTTATTATTCTAGTATTTATTTAAACTAATCGTTTTAATAACAACCAACTGTTGTCAAAATGGTATTAATTATTAGCATTATACCAAAAAATTATTTCTTACGTACATGCATACATGCAGACAAACGAACAAACAAC